GGGGGGGGGGGGGAAGGAAAATGTTGGGGGAATCAAATGGTTTCAGGAGGAACGAAGGGGGCATTAATCGTCTCAGACAGAGTGTAGGGGAAACTAAAGAAAATTGACTGCTAAGGAGAGAAGATCATAAGAAAACTATACGCACGCCTTAATGATGGACCCGGGAGAATTTAATTAAGGCACAGCTAAAATACTCCGCTCGTCACCCCCCTTCCCCCCCTTCCCACGATAAATCATGATTGTGTCTTGAGGCTTCGTAGTTTGACAAATCGCATTTACTTGCGCAATAAACCGCACATACCTTCATTTTACGTTTACCCGTTTCCCTTTTTTTGACCCTCGCATCTTGCAGAACCATGGTTGCAATATTGTCGAATGGATTTCGCACAACATGAACAAACTTCACCTTTACGTCCGCAGCTTTCTCTAAGAGGCGGACTGCATCCAAGGCGTTGTCTTTTCTCATCGCTCCCGCTGTAAAGGCACCTGATTTGTCTCCGATTACCTGTATAAAATAATATAGGGTGGCTCTAAATTCGATTAGTTGCTTGCAACTCAACTTGAATGAATCAGTGCAGTTAAAGAGCCCCTTCTCTCTATCGGTATACCATAAAATGCTGTTAAAGTAACAAAGGGATCAGTTATTATTTATCGCATGGGGAAGGGAGTGGAGGATTTTGAGGATCTCATGGCTTTTAGGAGGAGGGGAGGGTCGGTCGTTGCCAGCTGAGTCTAAGGGGGACTGTGGTAGACTGACAGCCAATTAACTGCCAATGAGGTAATGGGGGTGGTCATGATAATACTACGGAGCAGCCCTAGAGGGGATTAGGTTGATTATCCAACCTAAACGATAAATAATGACCGCGCAGCCAGTCCCTAACACCTGGTGGTTAATAGTGATTTGGTTTTGCTTGACTTCCCAACCATTGGGTCCCCGCGAAAAAAAACTGACCTTGAATTGATCAATTGCCGGTCGAAACGTTTTCTCCCTCCCCCCCCTTTCGAAAAAGCAAACCAACAAATAAATAAAAAAACAAAAACCAAATTGCTTTCAGCTGACCTCGATATACTGATCATACTGGCCTTGCCATTGATTTGGTACATAGTACGCATATGAAGAAGTCACATTCACAACACTTCCTTGAAATACACGCGAGCGTCTCCCCTGGGCAACTGCGCGCTGCGAAGCTTCAAATAACGTATCGTAAAATGCGTGTATCGAGCCATTCAGCCAAGTTTTGAGACCCCCTATCCATCGTGGAAAAGCCATTGCCTCATCAGAAACCACCATGTGTGGATGAGCATCCAATAAGGAGCCAAGAAGACTGTGACGACTACGCGGATAACCAATGAAAAACAGGACACTGTGCACGTGATCATAAGCTTTGTACAAGTCGCTCGGTGAGTTTGTGCCATCTGAAGAAAAATAAAACCATTGAGACAAAAAGAGCTAGTAAACAAAAGTCATCAAAAAAGAAAAAAACTGGGAATTATTCTGAAGGTTGCGAAGGACACCACATTGAACGAAACTTACAACAAACCTAACAAGATCAACTACAGTCAAAGACACTATTACAGAGTACGGCACGAAGCGCGAAGCAAGGGGAAACATCTCTTATCGATAGAGCTAGAAAAAGAGTAAAATTGGGTGTTTAACATTTGTCAAGACTGTGAGAAATTCTGTACGTCAACGTAGGCTTTTATAGACGTACTGAGCTGGCATAACTTTGGACATAATTTGAGAAGACAAGTATAATTTTTTCCAGTTGTAAAAACGTAGCACTGGTAGCATTCAAAAGTTTGTACCATCATCTGTGGTTGTTCTGCTGTTTTCTATTGGTCCAGTGAGAAAGAGTTCTTTTGGGTCGCTGTTTTCACCGTGTGTAATCAACGATGTAGAATCAACTCGGCTGCCTCCTCCTTTATTTGAATGGAAGACAAAAATGTAGGCAAGGTTAGAAGAAAACCTCTACTGATGGGAGATATGCTCATGATCTTGATAAAAGTGTGGCGTAGTAGGACGATTCGTCAAAATTGGAAACTAACTTACTCTGGCGGGGGTTAATAATCAATCAGAAAATGAATTTGAAATAAATGTGCCTATAGCTCTTCATGATTTAAGACCAGCCGGTTTACAAAAAGGAAAACAGAAATACAAATGGATGAAACCTTGATGAAAAATTGATTAGAAAAAGCTAGTTTAAACTTTTGTCCTCCTCTCGGTAACTTGATCCCATGCTATGACGAGAATATTTGTGTCTAAGAACAAAGCATTTACTTCAGATAATGATGACACTCGGCGTTTATTTGCCTTTTTTTTCTTTTTTTTTTTAAGTTGTATGTTTATTTCAGAATCTGAACGTTATATCATCTCTGGCAATCAAATCACTCACCGACCTCGTCGATAATCAGATTTTCTTTAACGTAAGAAGCGTCATCTCTCCATGTCACAAAAAGCACCGCAAGTCCAAAGCCAAAAAATAAACCACAAATCACTCCTCGAAATCTGGCTAGCAGCCTTCCAAGCATTATTCCCCCAGTCTCTAATCGTTGTAACTAAAAAAAAAATAAAAAACTGTAAATCATGCCAATCGAAAAACCCTCGCTCGAAAAACAACCGTTTGCTCTGACGATGGGCTAACGCTCAAAACGTCAGCTTTACAGAGAAAGTCTTTACGGTGGCCAATTTACATTATTAACTCAGGTGTTAAAAACCGAATTATCATGCTACATCTTGATAGAATCCCCCTTTATCCATATAATATGACCATATGCTTAAACTGCAGATAGCGTAGAAGGCGCGCAGTGATTGGCTACTCATACTCGGGATATCCCTCGCTATTCACTTTCGAGCACTCCGCGTGGGATTTGCGCCCAAAAACATTGTAATCTTATAATTAGCAAGAATAAATGGGTTAAACCCGTTTTTATGAGCTATATTATTTAAGCTAGTATCTACTACCTCAGTGAAGGCAGGCAGTGGTCAATATCTACCTCTCGGAAAATATCCACCACCAAGACTACTGGTCACCGCCCCTTCGGTGAATAGTTGTTGACTATTCATCGAGCGGAAGATACGTATGGAAAGGAAGTGCATCCAAGGTCATGACCACTCAAAACCAAGAAAAAAAACATGTTTAACTTTGTCGCCCTATGCACCGAATGCAAATATGGCGTCCAATTTGAGTTGCCATTGTTCTGGACTGACTAGCCTCTCTCACACATGTAATAATCCTTTTGTGTTTCCACGTGAAGACGAGGCTAGTCAGTCCAGAACAATGGCAACTCAAATTGGATGCCATATTTGCATTCGGTGTATAATCAAACCTTTACCAAAGGTCGAGAGCCGTACTACAAATACATGTAACCGACATAACGTCACTGAGACTCCTTATAATATGATAAAATTTTCCTCTTAGCGATCTCGAAACGAAGGAAAGCATTGAGAAAAAGAATCGAATTAGCAATAAAATTCCAACGATGATTAGATTTTCACAGGATAAACACATTTTTCCTTTTTGCCATGATTATTCATGCTTTTAAAGGGAACTCTTATATTCCAGAAAGCGACAACATTTTTACGGTAACTGCATTTGTTTACACGAAATTGCATTATAAATTCTAACACTTCAACGTTCTTTCCGATGAAAGATATTTCAATGACGCAGCGTGTGCATGTGAAAAAAAAATTCGTCATTTAGTTCCCTGAATCGGGATTGAGGAGGAATCGTGCATTCTCATTTCTTCAGTAAAAAAAGGAAAATATTATGAGTCTCGAATTAAGGTCAGATAATTTTGTTTCAACACTCGACCCTGAATAATAGCACTAGAAAAAACAGGCATTTCCTCTGCCAAGCAATTTCATATATTCACTCATCAAAAGCTCTTTTAAAATTGACGAATTCTACTCTTCGTTAAGTGTATCGTCACGTTCTTTTTTAGAGCATTAAAAAATAAATTAATTAATACCCAAACATGAATTTTTTTTCTTTCCTTTCATTCTAACCTTTCGACGATTCGGCTACTCCTTGAACCGTTTTCTCTCGGCTTCTTTCCGCGGTTTGATTAAAGTTATGGAACGGAAACCAAAACTGCACCCTGTATGATGAGACTGACTTCGCCAAACACTGCATTATAGGCAGACCTGTTAAATTACTGTGGAAACATGTTAAAACTCAGTTGATATAGTCACACCCAGGAGCCCCTGCAGCCCTGCTGGGACAATCCTCTTAACCCAAAGCACCTTTTGCTCGTCAAATGAGTATATAAAAACTATTATTTCCAGTCCATAGTGTCGTGTTATTTCGCGCACGTTATTGTACAATAGCCGAAACCTCGAGAAAACCTCAACGGTAACGTCAACTAGACAATGGCAAAACAAAAATTAAATGAGCAGAATAACACCTCAGCACGCGCATTTTAAGATTTTGTTTATTTCTTAGCCGTCCTCTGCTAAAATATAAAAACGTGAACAATTGAAACTTGCGCATTCTGAGTAAGGAACACCGACCGCGAATAAATTATACGTTTCCATTTAGAACTAAAGGCTGCTTGCATATTAGCCTATGCTACAGAAGAGGTCTGGTGTCTTTAGAGCGGGTAACCCCATCCACCCGTTCGCGGATATTTTTCGAAGAAAAAATTTAGATCCTCAGTTTTTAATCGATGTTTTCCTCAACGTTGCCGTCCTGGCTGCAGTTTCTCATTTAATATGGACCTTGAACAAACCAAGAATGCAATTACAACGAGAACGTGGCAACCCAAAAGGTCTGCTAAGAAGAAAAATAGCACTGCACGTGCGTTTTCAAACTTTGCATATTGCGAGACCGTCCTCTGCAAAACAAAAACTTGAAATCGCAAACATTTGCGTGATCATTTTAATTTTCATCCCTTGTACATGCCTCCAACACCGCTTTGAGTAAGGAAAGACTTTTAGCTTGAAATTCTCGGTTCTTTCTCCGGCCTTGCCTTCCCGGCACTGACAGCAGAAGAATCTCCGCTCAACCTCCTTTGAGATTTTAATAAAAATCTACCACAAAACAATAAGCAGTAATCTTCTTGTTTAAAACTGTCACCGCACAGTATTCAGCGATAAAAATCTGTAATAACTCAAATATCACTGTAACAGACTGGCTAAAATCTGTTCCAGAATAATCCAAGTTAATTTATCTGTTCAAGAAACACACAAGAAAAAGAAAACCATTTTTTTAAGAGTTTGTTATCAGTTTAGCCGTCGTAATACAAGCTTCAGCCGATTTCAACAATGCCAGAACTGTTGCCATAGCATTTCACGTTGTTATCAGCAATGTTTTCTTTCTTTTATGCGAATTTCAACAGCCTATGTGATATCGAATCGACCTTTTTGACAATGAGCGTTAAATAGCAATGGTCTAGCAAACGATAAAACCTTCTTTGTATTTGAAGATGAGGCGTCATTTTGAAGAGCACGAAAACGTGAAGCCGGATGACCA